GTTCTAGTCTTGGACATGACTTGTATGAAATGTGATTATTCAGCAAAATGTAGTCTACCTGTAGTCCTGTACACCCATGTGGTGTTTATTTGCTTTCAGTATGTAAATATCTTTACGGTAATAATTGATAAAAATAAGAAATTGCATCATTATCTTACGTCCTTGCCAGTGACTTTCTGCTTTTTATTGACAAAGTAAGCTTGGTAGGGCAATAAATTTCCAAGTACAACCGCCCCATCCAAGAGCCACGTGTGAAGCATTTTGTGGCCAGCGTCTGTGTTTGCACAACCTTGCATTTTGCCGGATCAGCCGATTTGAGCGAGACTTGGGATAGGGCTATAGTTTGTTGGACTTTGTTCCTTACGACTTGAAGAATAGTCCATCATAAACTGGATTAAAACTTAACTCCAAATGTAGAGAGCAAAAAACCTGCAGAAATTAATGAAAACAAAAGCGTGTACTCGTGATGCAATCAATTTGAGTCTTTCTGTACTCTGTAGTTAATGAGAATTGAGGCAGGAAAATAATGTGTAGAATCACAATATTTTCTTATGTACCAACAAATTTGATTAAAAAAGAATATTAAACTATTCCGAGATGAAGGATGGAAAATTAATGGAATAAAGATAAAAAGTAAAGCATCATTTATCTTTGATGGGCAAATGGAATTTAAATTAAAATTTTTATGAAGTTGTATATTGTTTTTTTAGATATTGAAAATAAAATTGGTGGGAGAATTCAAAAATCTTCCTTTTTCCTCAAACTTAAGATGAGTATAAAATAAGATTCGTAATGTAAAAAGGGGGCTAGGGGATTATAAAATTGTACCCCCATTCTATTCTTTAAGAGGATTGTACAGTATATTATGAGTGTCAAAGATTTCAGGACATCAAAGTTTTTAGTTTTTCCCTTTTCTCTTTTCTATAAAAGAAGGTTGCTTATGATTGGGAGAGGAGATAGGGTATTGAAAGGGGGCATTTTTTATTCATGAAGTTTACATTTGAGTGTAAAAGAATAAGGAAATTAAAAGTTTGTCAACCTATTATTCGTTTTGAGTAAAGTTTCATGACCAGTGTGAAAGGGGTAAGATAGTAGAAGGTACTAATACAGGTTCAAGTTCCCCTACCCCCCTAGGAGGATTTGAGTCATTTACCAATGTTATGTGACAAATCTAGGCATCGCCGAGAACTTCCTTCCGGCCCAGGCAGGAAAATTTCTCCTCTCTACCGTGTTGTGAGAGAAAGAGAGAGAGAGAGAGAGAGAGAGAGAGAGAGAGAGAGAGAGGGGATCTGTTCACATCTAGGCATTTGTGTAGTCTTAAAGCACAGACTTTGTTGATTTCATTGTATTTAAACCTCCTCTCATTTGGGTCACCTCCATAGGGATCTTCGTTACATGTACTGTGTCTATGGACATAATTTGCCAACAATTGGGCCATTGAGGGATTATATTTGAAGTTCCGTGCAAACAACGAAGATAAGTAGTTAGAATAATTTGGTATGATTTCATAGCCTAGATTCCAGGGGGGTGTTTCACAAAGATCCTAAGTTGAACTTATCTCTAAGTTGGACTTAACATTTATGGAAAGCCATTAGCATCTATGAAAGTATTTTGTAAAAGTATTTTTAAAAGGCATAGAATGTTTATTCAAATCATTCATATTTTCTATTATCAAGGATATTTCATGTTCTCGATATGGAATTTATAAAAAGTCTAAAATACTTGAATTTTAGCTTTTGAATATATTTAATTTTAAGGCTACAAATGGCTCTCCATAATTTTCAAGTCCAACTTCGAGTTAAGTTCAACTTAGGATCTTTGTGAAACACCCCCCTGGCCTAGTTGTTGGTGGGGTGAGTGGGGAGTGTGGAGGGGGACTTTCTTATTTCATGTCGATATAAAAATGCCCGCATAATATCCTTAGCCTGATAAGTATTGTTATGTTGTGTATCCAATTTTAGTCTACCGGTACTATTTTGTGTAAATCAGAACCATAAAACCCCCTCCATATTTCTATATTCTAAATTAATAATAAAGACTTTCCGGTCATCTTAAAATATCCTCACATTCTTTTGTCTTTTACCCTTTAATTTCTTAAATATTTTGGGGATATATTTTGTTGTTACTGGCATATTTGCTTTTTATTTCACTCATATGGAGTTAAAATTTGTGAAACGCAGATTTAAAATTTCAGGTGTTTAACATAATTTACCAAATTTCTGCTGCATTTCATAAATAACATGAGTGTTCCTTATAACAGGCCAATATATTAGATTATCTCATTTCCAAGTGTTTTTATGAGACACATTGTAGCACATGAAAAGCTCAGACTTTGGTGAAGTTGTCTGTCATCACTTTTGTTTCCAAGGAACTGCTAAATTAGTTTTGAAAAGTTCATGATGTACTAATAACAGTCCATGACGAACGAACCTTACAATGTTTAAAGGACAAAATGCCACTAGATCAAGGGTACTCAATTAAGCTCAATATTGCCTTGACATTTTGGATTTAATTCATAAGAATTTACATCAATTTGAGTTATAAAATGGGAATAATCTCAAGGAGGTCAGTTTAATAACTAGAGAATTCCTTTTATATTTTATATCTTTATAGATATTTCATGTAAGAAAAGTTTTGATGTGCAGTAGTAAAAACTATCAAGATTGTGAAATAGATGTGGATAAGAAATTATGTCTTGATATTAATATTGACATTTTTTTTCAATTCTATCACAAAATATGCAAGTATTGTTCATCATTCAGTAGACTTTCGGAAAAATGCCCCAAACTGAAATTGAACAAATATTCAGCCATGGCCATGTAAGCCAAGAATTTCAAATCTTGAAACAATACCGGTACTTGCCTTGTTATTACTCACAATAGTTCAAATCCTTTAATAGAGACTCCGAAAAAAAAGAGCTCACAAATCACTTTTTTACTTTGTCATTACCCGTAACAACAAATTACATGGCTCGTAAAGTGTGCCTCAAGATAAGAATCAAATAGAATGGTAGAAACTAGAAAGATAATGTTTCCTTGAAATTGCTTTCTATTTGATGCATCAGCATAATAAAAACCAACAACTTCTCATGTTTTCTCCATAAAATTATAATTTGTATAAAGTGCCTTAATCCTTCCGAAAAAATCTCCATGGACTCTGTGTCAGTGGCAGTTAAAATCAGTCAATGGAACGACATCAGATTAAACGAGCTTTCTCTTTAGGAGGTGAGGAGGTTGTCATTGGATCATGAAATATCTCCTTTAACGCATTAATGTAGTCATTTCCCTTATGAATTAAAGTGCTGAAGAAGGGAAATTTATGAAGCGGGATGGAGATAGGATCTTGGTACATAACCTCGGGTCGTGTTTCTCCTCGTATGTGTCTAGAGCGTAGAAAGAGAGAGAAGGAGAGGGAGAGAGAGAGTGTGAGGGAGAGAGAGAGAGCGAGAGAGAGCATGAGTGATAATGAGAGGTAATTAGAAATATCAAGGGGAACACAAGGGGAGTGAAAAGAGGGAAAGTCACCCTGAAGTGACAGAGAAAAAGTACAGAATAGCGAGGTTTAACCATTGTATTGGCTTGTTAGAGTGCACATTGCACAATCGTATCCAGACCATATAGTCTGTTAACTTTTCTACTAGACGGCAACACATGCACAGGGAAGTAATGATATAGATTGGGATTAGGTATAAATTTAAAGGCAACAGGGAAGACAAAAGAGTCACAGAGAGATTGTCACAGAATACGGAGAAAGATTTAGAAAATTCATTGATTAGTTTAGCTGTTATGATCTACGGAAAACCTCTGAGAAAATATTAACAACTTGAGAGTAGAGATAGTACTGGGGCTTGAAAGTATATTTATGCTGTTAAAGAGAGTTGGCGGGGAGAGAGCAAGAACACTTGAGAGACAGAGAGAGAAACAGAGAGAGAGAGAAACAGAGGGAATGAGAGTGGAAGGGGGTATTGAAAGGAAGAAGAAACCACACAAGTGCCAGAATGCCAGGTCCTGAGTTGTTTCAAGGGATTAAGAGTCGATTGGTCCCCTGAGAAGGCCCCCCATCAGTCATTTCCCCTTCCCCCTGTTTAGGATCAGTGGCTAGGGAAGAGGGTATTTCCCCCTTTCCCCTGAGCATCACCACAAGCCCTCAGTACACATGTAAAGGGAAAGTTGACAGAAGCACCCCCTGTATATACAGAAATCCTATTCATATTTATATATTCATATTTAAATTTACATGTATATTCATATTTATATTCATATTTAAAGTGGACTGGTCATGCTCAAAATTAACATACTTGGGCATTTAAATATAAACGTCTTTTTCTAAGGTCTCCATTTTCTTCTTCTATCATATCATTAATATTTTGTCGTTAAAAGTTATGTTGATTCCCGACTCCATTGAGAATTTCTAAAAAATAAAACGTTTTCAAAATCATCAATCATATTTCAACTGCTTGTACATTTATTTTGACTCACTTGCTAAACGTCAATGAGTCAATGTACATGTACCACCACAAGAATTATGCAAAAACAAATGCCTTTCAAGCTTTAAGTGATATGTGAACTTCATATAATGTACATGTAAGTGTACCTGAAGTTTTTATGACATCAAATCATTAAATCTTAAATTTTTTGTTCTCATTAACATTGATCAATTTTTGCATATATCCGCATCTACAACATGTATGTACATTAGCATTGCACATTTGTGAATTTTAAACTTACATTCTAACTGAGTGTGCTTCTTCAAGCTCATTATACCCCCAAATTATTCTGACATTTCATCAAATTCAACATACGGTAGCCTACCGGTAGTGTTTCCATTTTCCCAAAATGTTATCAAATGTGTGTGTTTTTTTCATAAAATTTCACCTTCCAGCTGTAACTGAATATTTATTTGGGGGTTGTTTACTTTGAAATGTAGAAGTACTATGAATCACATTTTATTTTTAAATTATCTATATTTTTGTATTCAAATTAATTGACATGCATGTACAGGTGTATTCACAATTAAGGCTTGTTCAGACATGACGCGACAAAACTGCAGCAGTTTTTATGATACACTTTACATTTCTTACAACACAAAGCTCAGTGAATATCCTAGATTTACACGTTAAAAAAAAATGAGGAGGCTATTATTTTTGTTGCGATTGAGCGCCATGTCTGAACAAGCCTTTGCCCTGTTCATAGTACAACCTGTACATGTATCGTTCTGTTCACCCAATGTGAAGAAGAGATTGAGAATGTGACAAGTATTCATCACATGTTGATGTTTTTGTAGTTATTGTCTGTTTGATTGTAAACATTCCTTAACTGACTATATTGAATTAAAACAGTGATATAAGAGTAAAGACAAAATTATGTTAAGAAGGTATTACAATGTGAGGCTATACAGGTATTCTTGAACGTAACAGTAACTTGAAAATCTTTGGGTTGTACCTATCGTATAATTTCCAGTGCAGACAGTCGTCCCGTAGCGTTTGTCCAACCCCGGGAATGGCTGCCTTTACCAAACCACTCGCAAGGACGAACGCAAACCAGCAGTACAAGTAAATCCAATGTAGAACAATGTCTTGTTACTGATTTGATGATTTAAAAAATGTGTACAATGTTTTTATTCCTTTGTTGTTTTTGATGGTGTTGTTTTTATTGTTGGTGTTGTTGGTTTACTATTATGAGTGTGTTGACAAATATTTTTCTTGGTGGGATTGTGTACAGAATGATAAAAAATGAAGGAGAGTGTATTTCTTACCAATTTATGTTGAGTATTTTAACGACAAGGATTAAACTGTATGTACAGTTAACTCTGCATAGTAACTCCAATTTGCACAAGTCAAATGAATTTTTGGACCAAACTATGCAAAATGTGTTAACACTTTCAAATTCTTTGCATAAGTCGAACCATTGTTTGTGGTCTCAACAGAAATGCCGAGTTAACTGTAGTGTCACACAGTGCAGATTGGTTTTCTTCTGATTTTTTGCAGAAGATTTGATCAAAATTGGTCAAATCAGAAATCTGACCAGATTCCTTCAGCTCCATCTAAGCAGTTGAAACTGCCTTTCGTATACTTATACTTGATGATAAACATTCTCTCCTGAATTTTACGACTTTGATAAAAAATTGTCGTTTCATCCAATCACCCTTCATTTTATGATGTTTATTCAATGTGTACATGTACTTGTCAATGACATAGTAAATGTTGCACGATACAAAGGCATGAGCTAAACCTACATAAAATCATTTTTCTGTTATGAAACTATAAATTGTTTGCTCTCCTAAGAAGGTAAACAAAGTAAATTGATATGAACTTTGTTGCCATTTCCAGGTTTGTGTTAACTATTCTCTAAAGCAGAGAAACCTGGCCCAAGCGATCATTCTTTAACTTGTATATTTCTTTGATACAGGTTATTGATTTGTAATAACTTGTGCTTCATTATTTTGGTAACATGTTTTTACCAATACCTGTTATCTCCTCTTCTCTTTAGATTTGTTTTCTTTTCTTTTTTTCTCTTCTCTTTTCTTCAACTCACTTCATCTTGTCAGGATCCATACACTCACAAAAGAAAAACTTGTGCTCACATCTCTTTTAAATGAAGCAATTCTTTTTTCTTTTTTCTATTTAGATGCGGCAGGAGATTCCTGTGCAGCCGCCCGAACAAGTGATCAATGATGATGAATTGATGAGCTTCTCGGTTCGTGAGCTGAACCGTCGGCTTCGGGGCTTGCCTAAGGATCAAGTGGTACAGCTGAAGCAACGTCGTCGTACCCTGAAGAACAGGGGCTATGCAGCAAACTGTCGTGAGAAGCGAGTCACTCAGAAAGAATCTTTAGAAGTGGAACAAGATAGACTCAAGATGGAGGTATGTGATCTCTAAATCCAACATGATTCCATTGGATGTACATTGTGTAATTTAATTATTAAAACTATCAAAACCCTAAAAAAATTGCACTTCAAAATGGTCATGAAGTGCCTCAAAAAAGTACAAATCTTTGAGTGACAGTACTCTTTTTCCCAAATAGACTGTAGTGTTATAACAAACGTTACAAAAACGTTTTTGAAATTTCGAATTCCAATCATAAATATCTTGATAATCAGACAAGTGATCGGCTTGTAAACGTCATGGGATTCCTGACTGACCTAAAGGTCTATAATTATGATTGCAGCATGAGCTAAATCCAGAATCTGAGACAAAGCTACCCAATTCCTTTAAGCAGTAATAATAATAATTATCCTTGCTTACATGTATATAGCGCCTAACACTTACTTTATCAGAAGTCTTAAAGCGCTCTACAATAATGCAGCATAATTACCCTGGCTTTAGCAGTGCAGCTGTATTTGCCATATATGTAAGCACAAAATGAATGTAGATATTAATATTGTGTACATCCTTTCTTCTTCTTCAGGTTGAAAAGCTGGCCGTTGAGAATGCCAGGCAGCGAGAAGCCCTCGACGACCTCCACAGGAAGTACAAATCCCTTCTCCATGTCACTGCCAAGAGTGGTCCCGAGAAGATCAAGGTATTGTCTGGACCGTTGACTATCGCTGACCTTAACAAGGACAACACCATCCCTGGTCCAAGCCACCGACAACAAGATGGGCCTGTTGCAGGCGTCATGGTCAAGCAGGAGATCGTGGATCAGAGATTGGGGGATTAAAAGGAGATCATCCCAATCCATTTATGACTTTGTAAAGATCTAAGTTCAGAGATATGGACTCTATACAACTGCGATCCTTGTTTGGTATTTTTCATCCATGTACATGTAGACGTGGTAGATGAGTAGATCCAAGGCAGTAGATCCAAGATTGGAGATTAAGATTAACTCTAATCCTGATCCAGTCATGACTTGGCACAGCATGAAGGCAAATGTGGACCGTATATGATTTTGAGATCAAAGTGGATTGTATATGAAGTGAGTACAATTAGGTTCTAGCAGACATCTAAACAAAGACGGAGATCAGGATTAGCCTTCTAATCCTTATCCAACTATATTGTTGCTCATAGCAGAGATTTGGAGTCTCCGTTTTACTCACTTATATTCCTCTTTAGTCCAATATGGTTGTATGTGGAAGAAGAGACATACAGCGCCCTATGAAAGATTGGGTACACCTCAAATCAGAACTGATTTTTCACTATCACCAACATTTTATTCATTACCAGTGTTGTGGCACTATAATTTGGTATCAAACTTAAGAAGAGTAGTCATCGGCCTTCAAGTCGACGCCAGTTTGACTATTGTTAAATGTTTCGACATGGCACTAATATCCTTTGGCAAGATATTAACCTACATTTGCTAATCTCCATCCAGGTGTTAAAATGGGTACCCGGTAGGATGCGACCGTCATTGTTGGTCAAACAGTTTTTGAGCGTCAAGTAATGCCTGGCTGGAATGCTCTCCTAGGAGTAGAGATTGTGCACACAGTTTGTGCGGGCAAGCACTGAATCCAATGACTGGGGTAATAATATATCTGTAAAGCGCTTAGAGACGTCTGAGATGTATTAAGTGCTATATAAAAGCTGAATATTATATTATACTGTTGGTGTATAGACTGGGATGATTTCACATGATATGATTAAAATAAAGATTTGTTTTATCCATTTTGATACATGTAAATTTTGCGAGTCAGTGACAATGCATGTACAGAGAGGAAGGAGATAATAATATTACAAATGTCACACTTTGTGATAAAACGATATGAATGAGTGTTGATTAAGCTAAACCGTTAGGTTAACTGTTTGCAATTATTTTTGAGTATGGTATGTATTATGTGTATATTTCTGGTTCATCAGGCATTGAATGTCAAATAGTTTTCTAAATTGAAATAAATTCAATGATATTTCAGTATTTAGCATCATTTTCTTATTTCTTGCTTCATGTCAATTTCATAACATGATTAAATATGTGGTGTATTTGTTATGTACAGTAACTCCACAAAAGCAAAGATATTTTCTTGTGTTTAAGCCCTCTCATTGACTTAAAAGTGTATTTCAAACTTTTGGGAAAGTGCCTATTTCTTTGCTTGTTTTTGTACATTTTGGCAAAATATACTGGTATATTTTCTGTCTTGTAAACCATTTAGAAGTGTTGGAAACTCTTGGGAACTATTTTGGATAGAATTGTTAAATTCTCAATTTAAAGACGGATGGATGTGAGTGTTGACTGTGGAATGATTGGCGTGTGAATGAAATATGAGTATGTAACCCCTTCTTATTTTTCTTTTGTAAACTATTCTGAAATGAAAAACATCTTTCAAGTATTTCATAGCATCATACTTTATACTAAATGTCATGTTTACTTGTATGCAGTGATGAGATTTATACAAGTTAAAGTTACTTTATTAAGTTTCATATATATTTATGCAGATTAATTTATTTCCTGATATTGTATGCTTGGATTTTGTCAAGTGTGGTTGTGGTTACTGTGTGACTGAGAATGTGTTTGTTACTATGTGAACAAAATGAGAAACTGATTCTCATTATATCAATTTTTGTATTAGTTTTAGAATTAATTTATGTTGATATATTTATTTCTGTTTTGAGGAGGGGGGGGGGGGGGGGGGGTCCAGTAGAAAAAGTGAAAGCCAGTGCCTTTTTGGGGGGTTGAAAATTTGTTTCTATATTCCTCCTCTCTTTTCGGGAAGGGGGAAGGAGTTTTGCTAAAATAAAAAATAAAAATCATCAATACTTATTTTGGTGAAAACAAATGTAATTTTGTTTAGCTCAGATACAAGTAATCGATTGGCTCCTAGTAGACTTTTTTCATTCAACTTCAAATTGTTCTTGCATTTGATATTTGTGATATGATCACCATTAAAAAGTCAGTTGCCTAAAGCCTGGTTTATAAAGGAGGATGCATGTAGTTGATGCTTGAAAAGTAAAATGATGATGATCTACGAGCAATTCATAGGGCCCTAACTTTGGCTGTTTTTACATTTTCATAATTTTTCTATAATTTTAAGATTATTCTTATTTAAGACTTACATGTAGTAAGTTATTCTGACAGTTCATTTTTTAAAACTTTTTAAAATTAATATAGTATGTTACTGTGTGACCGATGTGATAGTGTATGGTGCAATGCGTAACAGTTTGTTGCAATATTGTGTGTGTAGTGTAGAGAGTACTGAAGTGGTGGTGGTGGGGGGGGGGGGGGGGGGGGGGGGGGGGAGGGGGGGGGGGGGGGGGGGGGAGGGGGGGGGGCAGTGTGGATGTGGACATGGTTTGTAGTGTTTGTATGAAAGCTGAATTGCTGAATGTCTCTATGTTTGAACTGGTATGTGTGGTGTATGTTTGTTTTTGTTCGTAAGTTTAAAGTTTTTAAGGATATGACTACATTGTAATTTATCTTTAAGATAATAATGTTTTCACATTTAACTATTAAAAACAGTTAATTTATCAGAAATCCTATACAGATAGTTCTTTGAAGAACTGTACTCGGCATTTGTGTACTACATACTTGGTCATCTCTCGTTTATATTATTCCTCCTTTTTAGTTTTGGACCGTTTATAGATATTGATATTCAATTTAACTTCCCCTTGGTTGTGTATGTGTTGTGTGTAGGAGTACGTGATAGTGAGTACCGGTATATTGCAGTTTGGTTGTGTTGATCATAACATGTATGTTATGCATGAAATATTTCTATATGTTGGAAAATAGATTTTCTCCTTCAACAACCTTTTTTTTTCGGTAAAAAGATTATAATCCAATCACAGAAAGGAGTTGGAAAATGCTAAAAGCATGTATGCTGGTTCATTTACATGTAAATATGGTTTCAATTAAATACTTGTATCTTCAAAGAAATTTAATAAAAGGTTCCTTTTTTTTCATTCCGCTTATTATTTGTACAATGTGATGTGAGTTACAGTATAGAGACACTGAATAATAAGTTATTTTTTCATCAGTTATTGAAATATGGGTGAAAACTATAAACTAAATTTGTATAAAAAATTGAAGTTCAAAGCACTATGTATTATGTTATTTACTTGTGATAGAGTTTTGAAACCCAATATGTAGGTAAAAGGTGCCTGTATCTGTTATTAATGAGATCCTATTTGTTTTTGTTAATCATTAGAGATAGCTTATCAAATTCAAACAAGCTACATTTGGAATGTGGGTTTGGCAGACTTTGCCCTAATGATACATATAAAGTAGAAGGAAAACTACCAACATTCATGTACCGTGTGTACTTTATCAGAGGGATAGGCATTAGTCAGCACATCTTGTTACAGGTATTCCAAAGTTTTTTTTATCTACTAGAACTGCAATTCTAGAGAAACTATCTAGAAGTCGGTCTGGCATTTTAGTGAGGTATTTAAATGAGTTGTTTTCAGACCAGCAATTTTGCCAATAGATCAGTGGAAAATCATGTACTCTATAGACTATACTGAATGTGGATAAGACCGACACACAGGATTTTGTGCGAGAGCATTGGTTCTACATGTAGCCTGGTTTCAATTTCATATTCTGATCTATCATCTTTCAGTTATATTTTCCTTAAGTTACTCATTTTGCATTTTCTTTAAACTCATTTGGCATATCTGTGTCATTCATTGTGTTCCTAGACAATGAATTTAAATTCTTTTTTAATCTGTGTGTTTGACACAAATAAATATTACTTTATCACCAGAACCGTTTCTGTCCATTACACACCTATTATACTATTTTAATTGAATTTTTCGAGCTGATGGTTTTGTTGCCAGTCTTTAACATTCAATGAAAATGTTGTTGTTTTCTGTTGAAAATGTATTTTCTCTTTTAACCTACAACTCAGTTTAACCTAATTAGAGAGATCCCTGTTCTAGGAGCATGGTTATGAAAGTTACAGAAATGGTGATAATATGATGGCAGTGATTGTGCTTACATGTATGTACTGCTGGAATTGTCATCTCTCTGTGCTTTCAGAGTTATGTGAATAGTCAATGAAATATGATTTTCTCAAGCAGATTGTAGGAACAGTTTTTCCTCATTTTACTTTTTGAAATTCATTTTGTAAGTGGTAACGTTGGTTCTCTTTGCTTCCATTTACAACTCTTATCACATTTCAATCGACATGTATCATACTTGTACAGTGTTAGGAGGATTGACTATACTAGTATATGAATTCAAATGAATATTCTTATGTCTACTCTTGATCTGCTTTAGTTTATTTTTAGTAGGATAGTAAAGTCTATCTTCAGGAAAAGGTGTTCCGTAGAAAAAAAAACATGTTACCTCAGCTTCTCCCTTCTTATAACCCCAGCTATTAGTGACCCTCGTTTCTATGCCTATGGAAGAAACTGTAGTAATAAAATTTGCAAATAATTGAATCCAATATTGTAATTCTAAATATATTTCAATGACAATTGTACCAACAATCCTGCGTTAAAATGACATATTGTTCTTGGTAATTTCGGTTAAAATTGTGAAGTTAAATCTTTTAGATTTTGCAAAGATTTGGACTGATATCATACAATGCTTTAATAAAGAGATATTTTGCTATATATTTTGTTGGTTTTAGACAGGTTTGTGAATTGATTCTGTTATGCGATTTACATGTTCTTGTAGGTGGCTTTTGGGGGTTAACATGAAAAAAGTGCTGATGAGGTACATGGGGGAAAGAGAGAGAGAGAGAGAGAGAGAGAGTGTGTGTGTGTGGGGGGGGGGGGAGGGGAGGGGGTGTATAAAGAAGATGAAATCTGAGGGAGAAGGAAAGAGAAACTAAACAAGGAAAAGAGAAGGAGAAAGAATAAAAGGGGGAAAATGAATTTCTGAGGGGTTAAAGAAAGAGGAGAGGGGCTATGAGGATAGGAACAAAAGAGAAAGAGAGAAAATGGAGTGAGTGATGGATTATATTACAGTTGTAGAGGACACAAAGAAGGGTAGGCAAGAGGAGAGGAGAAAGAGAAGGGAAAGAAAGATTGAGATATAGAGAAAGGGAAGAGTTCATGATTAAACAAATAGGTCAAAATAAAGTTATGACAGATAAAAGAAGAACAAAACTAGATGGAATTTTGACTGCGCGCAGTCGAAAATGATGCCTCCGCCATAGAGCAATTTAAATAATAGTGAGGTCTCTTGCTTTGCGCAATTTCTCAAGACGCGTGCCAAATTTCGAGGCAATCGGCCCCTCCCCCCCCCCCCCCCCCCAGTCAGGGAGGTGCTCAAAATAGCCCAGTTAAGTACGGGTTAAGTAACGGAACATATTTCAAGTGGTTCTTGACATATCATGACAAGTCCTATACATGTAGTCTGAAATTTTCAAGTTGACCTCTATGACCTTTGACATACATGTACTCCAAAATCTAATCTAATCGTTTTCCTATGGTGATATATATACTATCCTTAAGTTTGAAGTTTAAATCTCCAGTGGTTCTTGAGATATTATGATAACAATCTCAATGTATGGAATTTCATAAGTTGACCTCTGTGACCCTTGACCTTTGACCTACGTGCTCCAAAATCTAATCAGATCGTCTTCCTATGGTGATACATACTATCCTTAAGTTTGAAGTTTAAATCTCAAATGGTTCTTGAGATATCATGATAACAATCTCAATGTATGGAATTTCATAAGTTGACCTCTGTGACCCTTGACCTTTGACCTACGTGCTCCAAAATCTAATCAGATTGTTTTGCTATAGTGATACACACTATCACTAAGTTTGAAGTTTAAATCTCCAGTGGTTCTTGAGATATCATGATAACAATCTCAATGTATGGAATTTCATAAGTTGACCTCTGTGACCCTTGACCTTTGACATACGTGCTCCAAAATCTAATCAGATTGTTTTCCTATAGTGATACACACTATCACTAAGTTTGAAGTTTAAATCTCCAGTGGTTCTTGAGATATCATGATAACAATCTCAATGTATGGAATTTCATAAGTTGACCTCTGTGACCCTTGACCTTTGACATACGTGCTCCAAAATCTAATCAGATCGTCTTCCTATGGTGATACATACTATCC